TACTAATGCAGCCCAGTATGCTGCTAGCCTTCTTCACAACAAGGGCACACTGTTGGCTCACATTCAACTTATTGTCCACTGTACCCCCAGGTCCTTTTCTGCTGAGCTGCTGCTTAGCCAGTCAGTCCCCAACCTGTACTGGTGCAGAGATGTTCTGTCCTAAGTTCAGAACTTTGTACTTCTCGTTATGGAACCTCATGAGATTTCTTTTGGTGCAATCTCCAAATTATTGAGGTCTCTCTGAATCCTAACTCTACCCTTCAGTTATCTACTACTCTCCTCAGCTTGGACTGGGCAGGGAAAGAGGGTAATAGTGGCACTTGGATAGAGAGGAGGGCTAAGTTTTGGCATACCTGCCAAAAAGGTTGGCCTCCACTTGATTTAACCTAATTTGGGGTGCCACCGCAGTTTGCACTGCCAAAGAACTCTGCTAAATATAGAAATTTCCAAACCTTCCCCAGAAGCAGGGAACCACGCCGCTATATCAGGTCCTAGTCAAGTGTTCAATGTCACCCAATATGTTCACCTTATTGAATCTACTACCACAACCTTTATTTTCCCTGCCTTGGAGAAGGGAAAGAATAAATAATAGCAGTAAATAGGAATTAACTTACTCAGTGACATTGGATTGTTCTGAGGATGGAAATTGAGCCATGAGTACACAGTTAAGTACCACAACACAGATAATGAACAGAATGAACAATGTAAGAAATGAGTTAAGGAAAGATCATTATACTGTAGAATAGTAACAGAAGTTCAAAAATGAACTCCTCACCATATTTAGAAAAAAATCCATTCTAGATTACTTCGGGACAGAGCCTATTCCACCTATTAGAAATCTGAGCATAATCCTATTCCACCCTGGTCAAAACTCTGAAAAATCATTAACACAAAAGTGTCATAGATTCATAGATTTTAGGTTTGGAAGGGACCTATTAGATCACTGAGTCCAACATTTGTACCAATCTGTTCTTTGGATAGTTCCATGTGGGTCAGACTAGATGTGAAGGACACAAGAAAGGAAAGACTCGAAAAAAGTTTTTCCATCTTTCTCAAAACAACAGTCTTCAGACAGGCTGCAGGAAATTCCATGGAGGGAGGAAGAAGTACATGTACATACAACCCTAATTAGGAGCTTAATATATGAAAATAATTTACTGAGTACTACTTAGTGTATATTCCACCTCCCAAATGAAATAATCACATCAACTAGATAGCTAACAAAATATTTTGAAAAATTGAATATAATCCTCTACAGATCTCATAAAATATATAAACTGTATCTGCTCAAGATTAGCTGCTATCGATTGTGAAATATGGAGTAACCTATATGAAATGGTAATTTTAATTACTTTATAAGACTTTGCAATATTACCTTGTTCTAATTTGCTAGCTTATTAAAAAAATCCTATATCACCATATTTTCTCACATACCATGTGCACCTTTTTTTTCCAAAAAACAGTTGCTGAAAACTGAAGTGTAAATAGGTGAGGAAATTTGCTAAAAGCAGTTCCTGCTGCTTAAGCTTCTGAAGTTCCTGCCACTTAAGCTTCTGCTGGGCAAAAGTAAAAGTACAATCTGCACATGATCCACAGGGAGTGGAACAACGAGCAGGCTCAGCTCTCTCACTGCTGCTACTCGGTTACTTATTACAGGGAAAAAATCTTTTTCCTTCATTCTGCCTTTCAAAAAGGAGATGCATGTCTTACTGGGGTGTCCTATGTACAGGAAAATATAGTCTTATGCAGATTTCCTTTTTGGAACCTAAACTGCATCGCATGAGCTCTAACCACAGTATTGTGTATTATACTAGGACAAACTAGTCCTACATATTGATTACTATCTGCCACTCTCCTGATACCAAGATATTATCCTACCATCTTTCTGTTCTATTCCTTAATACCCTGCAAAAAGTTTGAGTGGCACAATAAAGACGGAAGAACAGATCTAATGAGGTATCCTAGTAGAAGAGATATTATAACATCCTATGAGTTCCGTGTCCTTTTAATCTAGCAAGGAGGATCAAAAAAGCTCCTTCTTGGGTAAATCAGTTGCAAGTATTCCTACAGCACGCACTTCTTTGCTGATATCTGGGACTCTGAAAATAGGTCTGTTACTAAAAGAATGATGATAACACAAGGATAACTATAAGTATATAATGGGTGTGCATCAGGAGCTAGGAGAACATGTGTTCACCAGGGCAACCCAAGGGAAGACATGGTCTAACCGTCACAAACTCTGGAAAGAACATTTTAGGCTGGACATAAAAAAAAAACTTCTTTACTGTTTATGTCCCCAGAGCCTGGAATAGACTCTCCCCAGAAGTGGTGCAAGCACCTACTGTGGACACTTTCAAGAAACAGTGGATTACTATCTTGCTGGCATCATTAGACCCCAGATGACTTTTTGCCCCTTGGGCAGGGGCTGGACCCAATGATCTTGCAAGGAGGTCCCTTCCAGCCCTAATGTCTACGAGATCTATGAAATCTATAAAATTCCTCACTGAGCTTTTGAGGAAGTAGACTAGAAGATTCTATTTTCTAGAAGCTATGGAAAAAGTTGCATTTAAAATCTGTCCAAAAAACTTACCTGTAGATAGTTAGACACTTATTAAACTGCTTGAACTCCATGCCCACCTGCTTAGAACCATTGCAGGTTACAGTGCTCAAGGCTATAAATTGATTTTTCCCTTGAAAGGAACTACATCTCATTTGCCTTTGACATAATAGCATTGGTGAAACAAACTTTGAAGTCATCCAAGGGACAGTTCTGGGTTTTTTTTCCCCATCCTCTAGTTCTGGGACAGAAATTTGCCTTCCAAAAGGGTTAATTATTTCCTTAAGCAGAGACGCCACTATGATATCTACTTTCAGAAATTTAACATTTTTCTTTATCTTTAGAAACCAAACTGACCTTTGGAAGCTACCTAACAGATATCCATTCCTCTTTGACAGCAACAACAACTTCAAAGGCATACAGCACAAGGAGCTGGCACAGGGTGCATGCTGCATGGGGTGCCTTGCCAGACTGGCTGTGTGTACTGGCTCCAGCATGGCCTGATCTTGACTTGCCCAGAAGCCAACACACAGAACCAATCTGGTGTGGGAGCCATATGCAGCATAAATGGCATCGGGTCTGTGTGCCACATGCAGCACGCAGAGGTGGGGCCAGCACATAGCCCAAGCAGCATGTAGGGTTGGTCGAGACCTGTAGGCCATATGTTTGACAACCCTGCACTAGGCAATCTAATGGTCTCCATTTTTACACTTACATATTGTGGGTTTAAGTAATTGTAGGTGCTATCTTGTAGCAATCACTTCAGTCAAGTGAACTTATTTCCACATGATTTAATTTGCACCTACAGTTCTGCAGGCACATAAACAGAAAAAAATGGAGGTTCTGTCTCCAACTTGAATTATCTTTCTTACAACAGTACCAGGTGTCTGACCAAAGCATTCATTCAATTTGTACTGATGATCTTAACAACAGTGTGGACCATTTATTTCACTAGAAGTTTCTATGATGTTATCACAGCAGAAATATGCAGGATGTTGAGGGAAAAGCCCTAACACAATTGAGTAGTCTGTACATGTTATTCAGCTTGAAGCCTATAACAACAATAATATAAGAACTTAATCTCTGACTCATCAGAAAAACTCATCACATCTAATCTATTCTTCATCACTATTTGTACTAGATATACTGGGATTTAAATATTACTGATTTTGTGAAACAAAATCCAGTATAGCCTCTTAACAATGACATACTATTATATCACAGAGGCAAGGATTCCTTAGGGTATTATCTTTTACTGGACTAACTGACTGCTTCTACACAAGATGTTTACTGCACAGTGTGCATCTACACATGTGCCCCTACCAGGTTGGGCTAAACTAATTAACTCCACAGCAGGCTAGTACTTGTAAATACACATGAGCTACTGTAAATACAAGTACTAGCCTGCTGTGGAGTTTTTACTCTGTAGCAGTGCATGTGTAGATGTTACCCTGGCTGGCTGAGGCACAAGGGTGTTTCAGTGCAGGGGCTGCCTGCCAGCTAGCCCCACACTGAAGCACTCTCGTGCTCCAGCCAGCCACTCAGCAGCACACTGAGTTGAGGGGAGCAGCCCCAAGCTGACAGGCTGACCCCCAAGGCCCCTTGCCAGCTGCAGCTGCTCCAACTTGGCTCTGGAGTTTATTGTTTTGCATTAATTAGTCCACTGTGTAGCAGAAGAATATTTTACATTCAAAAGCTTATCTAACCCTACTGCACAGTTGGCTCAGTAAATACCACACTAAGAAATCCTTGCCTCTTACATTAGTTTCTGGACTTATGTGGCTACATCACTCTTATGCTAGCGTAATATTATATCAAAATTCACTTACATTTAATCCACTATAAATACAAGACTAGAATGAAGGAAAACAGAACAGTTTTTTTTCAAAAGAGTGTTAGAATAAGAATAACCAGTAAAAAGGATATGAATGAACCAAAATTTTAATTGCTGTTCTTCTGATAGGATTGAAAGGGCCAAATATGCATAAGGCAGGTGCTGCACTAAATCGAAAAATTATATTCTTGTTATTCAGTACCATAAAAGTCTATAATAGAAAGAAGCAAACAAAAAACAAACACAGCATTAGAAGTATATTAACTATGTATAGTTTTTTTCCAGAAAGCAAACTAGGATTTCTTAAATGCCGACCCAGAATTGGAAATCATTATAGGTACGACTGATAGTTTTTATTATTTTATTTTTATTCTTTTATTTGTTATTTTTACTTGGAGACAGAACCTAGCAATACCTATCTGCCCAATGGGCCAATTTAGCATTGTAAGATCATTCTTATCTCCTGGGAAAGAGACAAGAGAAAGAAATAATTATGATTCAAAACAAATCTGCAGACTCACTTTGTCAATGCAATTAAAAGATATTAATTACAAGCCACATTTTGCTAGTTACTTATACACAGTAGTTCCTTACTCCTGAAGTAGTCCCATTGAACCCAATGGGCTATTCGCAAAGTAAGGGTATGTACAGCCATTTTCCACACCCGGTCTACATTCATGTAGCTCACTTTAAGACAAGTGAAAATAAACCAAAAGCAGTGTGCGCAGCCATTCACCAGTGCTGGTAGCTGTGTGGGGAAACCAATGTAAGTAACTTGTGAGGTGGAGGCTGGCAGGTCCACAGGGAGTGTTGATGGTTTGAGGGCAGATCTGTGGGAGGAGGTTTCAGGGTTAAAAATAGCCCAGTCAGGGTTCAAGGGATGGGAATAGTGTAGCCCAATGGCTGCAGTGAGTGGCTGGGTTTTTCCAGCCCTGGGGCTGTGCTGCAAGCGCATACAGGCATTCGCAAGGTCAGGTTAACCAGATCTTATCCTAAGGGCCCCTCTACACATGCAAGCAAGGGTGTGATGTAATCCAATGCACAGTCCACAAAATTGCACCTTCTGCTGTGCCACATGTGCATGGCAAGAGACGTAATTGTGGGATTGCAAATCAGATCCCATCACTACCTATTGCCGGTGCAGTGGAGCCTGTTTTATCTAAGAATAATAGCCTTCAGCACAGGTTCCCAAACTTTTTCTTATTACTTACCTCTTCCAGAATTACCAGCTGCCTGCATACCCCTTCCAGTGTACATTTTATGATCCTTAAATGACTACTATTATTATAATGAAAATTAAATCCACCATTACACAATTTCTACCACGTACCCCCCAAAAATGTTTTGCGTACCCCCAGGGGTACGTGTACCACAGTTTGGGAACCCCTGGCTTACAGCAACCCCTGAAGACAAACTGAATCTCTGGAACAACCCACACACTGTCATGGGTATTTGGTAATTAAATATAAGAGGCAGGGATTTCTTCAGGTGATATCTTTTATTGGACCAACTACACAGTTGGGATAAAGTTAGACAAGCTTTTGAATGCAAGACACTCAGAGACTCATAGATTCTAGGGTCAGAAGGGACCTCAACAGATCATCAAGTCTGACCCCCTGCCTAGACAGGAAAGAGTGCTGGGGTCAGATAACCCCAGCCAGATGCCTATTCAGCCTTCTCTTAAAGACCCCCAAGGTAGGGGAGAGCACTACCTCCCTTGGAAGCCCATTCCAAATTTTGGCTACCCTTACCATAAAGAAGTTTTTCCTGATATCTAGCCTAAATCTGCTCTCTGTCAGTTTGTGACCATTGTTCCTTGTTACCCCAAGAGGCGCCCTGGTGAACAGAGCATCTTTTATCCCACTTATCCCACTGTTGGCTGCTCACCTCCTCCCCAAACTGTGCTACCCAATGCGGTAGTCTGGTAGCTGACCTTGCCTGTGATGACTGAGGTAAAAAAGACGATTAGAACTTCAGCCTTTTCTGCATCATCAGTCACTAGGTTGCCTCCCCCATTCAGTAAGGGACCTGCGCATTCCCTGATCTTCCTCTTATTGCTGACGTGCTTGTAGAAACCCTTCTTGTTACCCTTCACATCCTTTGCTAGCTGAAACTCCAGGTGTGCTTTAGCACTCCTGATTTCATCCCTGCATGCCCAATCAATATTCTTATATGCCTCCTTAGTTGTTTGTGCAAGTTTCCATTTCTTGTATGCTTCCTTTTTGTGCTTTAGCTTACTGAAGAATTCCCTGCTAAGCCAAGCTGGTCTCCCCCATACTTGCTACTCTTTCTGCACATTCCTGTGCCCTCACTAAGCTTTTGTTAAAGTACAGCCAGCTCTTCTGGACTCCTTTCTGCCTCAGACTGGCCTCCCAGGGTATCCTGCCCATGAGTTTCCTGAGCAAGTCAAAGTCTGTTTTTCTGAAGTCCAGGGTCCTTACTCTGCGGCTCCCCTTTCTTCCTTTCCTCAGGATCCTGAACTCAATCATCTTATGGTTGCTGCTGCCCAAGTTGCCATCCATTACTACATTCCCTGCCAATTCATCCCTGTTTTTGAGCAGCAGGTCAAGAAGAGCATGGCCCCCAGTTGGCCTCTCCAACACTTGCACCAGGGAGTTGTCTCCAACTTTACACTTTGCGAAAAAAAAATCTGATTGCATAAATTGAAAGTCAGTTGCCCTCTTATATTTGATTTCAAGTTTCTTCTTTCTCAACAGAAACATGTAATGCACACTCTATTATATTACAACAGAATATTAATTTACTATTTATAAAAAACATATATCCATTTCTAAGAGCAAGGCCTGGAAATTCTGTAATAGGTTTACGTGTTGTGTGTTGTTTTCTCCTTAGCTTTCCTGAATTATTATAAAAGTAACTGTAGCAAAACAGTAACTCAAATGTGACTAACAGCAATTACAGAAAAGCTATTAGCACTACAGCAATCTCAGTCCAGAGAACTCACATGGATTTCATAGGGAAGCGGCTGAATGACAGAACACAGTATAATTTTCATCACAAACTATTTTTTGTTGATATGATGTATTATATTTTCATACTCAATATAGTTTGATCAGTGGGCTTTAAAATTAACCTTTCATTTTACCAAGTTAATTTTGAATCTACCATAAGAACTTTAAGCCAACAAAGAATAGTAATGTACTGACATCTGGTTCAAGAAGGACCAAAAAAAGAATCCTCTGGGTAAAGCTTATCTTATATATTACAATCTTAAAAGTTAAAAAAGGCAGCACCCTTTTAATAGGATTTGCTTTAACCTTGTGGTCACTGTAGTAAGGATCAAGATCCTCCAATGGTACTCCAACAAGCTCTGGTGGAGGTTTTCCATAGATAGTAGGCAATTTGTTGCAAGCTTTCAGATCCAGCTGGGGAGAACATTGTTCTTCTTCTTTGACCTGCTGACTGCTGTCATCCTGCTTGGCTTGAGCTCGTTTTGCTTTTTTCTCAGCAATTCTATTCTCAATTTCAAACAACGAATTAGGAGTGAAATGGCGGAAACCATAAGCAGCAGCTAACAAAAGACTGGGGTCCATTTTTTTGTTCTGTTTTTTCCACTCTCAGTATTTCAAAGAACTGGACAAAAGAGAAAAAGAATGTTACCAGATTAAGACATTACAATATAGAAACTAACAGAGCAACACTACTGGAGTTAAGTACAGGTTAACTAGCTCTATATTAATATCTTGCTGTTAAATCAACAGGTAAAAATAAAACTAAACTAATAAGAATCATATTCCCAGAAGACAGAGTAATCTTTATGGTCTTAGTTTTAGATTAAGTGCAAGTAATGGATTCTGGATACATTTGGTAGGACTAAGTGTCAAAGGCCCCTAGTAGTTGCTACATTTATCCAGCAATTGACACTGTGCTTCCTGCAGCCCCCTTTGAAGCTCCAGGTGCATGGAGAGCCCAAGACTGGGGATCAGTTCCCAATGCCATGCTTTCTCCCTTTTAAGGTCCCAGGTCATAAGGAGCCAGGGATCTAGGTCCCTGTTCTCAGGCCTCCCATTCCAGCAGACACATTGCAACCTGCAATGCATGTCCAGCATGGCAAGATATGCATTTTTTGGGGTGCAGAATAAAATGTGTTATATCCATCACATAATTAAATTAATGCCTGCCAGAGGCCTAAAAGACATCATCTGCAATCCTTTCCCTGGGAAATGGTAGAATCACATCTGTGTTAGTGCCCTGAGAAGCACCTAGTATTTTGTGTGTGTGTGTCACACTGCTATATAAGAGGCATTACATCTCACCCCTATTCTTTTTGCAAAGAATATTTAATTTAAGGCCTTGTTACACCTTACATATGGTCCTAGTTATGACTGTAAACTGCATCCAACTGGAGGGCCTAGTAGTAACATGGTGGGGCTACTTGTGGCAGGGTAGCTCCTATAAAATACCCCAAAGTTGCAACCTCCACAGTTAGATGAGTATAGGGGACCTCACAACCCTAGCCCCCACTGCCTTGGGAGTACACCTTGGTTGGAGAAAATCTAAAGGACATCACCCTGACAGAAATGAGCCCTTGCTAAGGGATTAGGCAGTCAACAGCTATTCTTATCTGTTGCTCTCATTGTGACACTGAATGTCTGTACTCAGTCTGGCCTTTCGAATCTGTCTCAATAGTCTAAAGGGTGTGGGGGGTAGCTCTTGGGCAGCCTCTACTCCTCCATACCCTTGCCTAGCTGTTGAAGGTCTTGGTGTGGTGGTTGCAGGACACCATACAAGAGGATTCATCATCAGGCACCGGACTAGACTTCTTATACTTGCACCATGATCCGGAAAATTGAAGGTTGCCTACTACACCTTACACTGTGAGGCACACAAATTGTGCCTAGTGTTAGCGCTAGTTCAAATTTGCAGCAGTCAGATGTTCAGGCCAGCTGGAGCTTAAAAGGTAAGAATCACCCCCATTCCTATTTCAGGCTTCTCTCTTGCCCCATCGGAGCTCCCTGAGTTCCACCCCCTGCCTCTCAGAGTTCTCTGTCTAGAGAAGGCTTAACTTGCCTGCCTAACCTCCTGCTGCTCTTCTCTAGGATGAGCCCAGGCCACAGAGCAAAAGGGGAATCAGCAGCAGTGGCTGGGCAGGCAGGTTAACCCTTCCCTGCCTGCTCCCTGGGACAGACAGCATGGCTAGCTGGGATCTGGGATGCTGGGAAGGGGCAGTGGGCCAGATCCAGGCCAGCAGGGGAGGAGGGTGCAGGTGGAGTGTTTACGCTAAGGTGTCACCTAGAGTGGCAACATTTTAGTAACAAGAGCTGAGTAATGTGGATCAGAGATAATCCTGCCCTAGATTGGCATAACTTTGAGCCGCATAACAAGTGCTTAAAACTAGTTTCAGGTGTTAATGTGTGGACAATCCAGGTGATAAGAACTCCAGGAGCTGCCCAAAATTACTGTGTAGTAAGGCCCTTAGTATCAAGTATAATAGGTTGCTTGTACATGCCATGGGGGTTTAATTAGGTTTAATTCTCCCTAAATTGAAACTGTGGGTTTTTTAAAACCCATTGTTTCCACCATTTCAATTTAGGAAGAATTAAACCAAATTAAACCCCCATGGCATGTACACAAGGTTGGGGGCTCAATCTTTACCTGCCTCTCCAGTGGCTGGGTGAGGCTCTGAGCTGCCGGCCGGCCAAGTGATCCCTGAGCAGTGTAGGGGCCCGGTGCTTCCTTCCATGACTGCAGGGGAACCCGGTGCTTTCCAGGGGCAGCACCCACCCACTGGCATCAAGCATGGGCAGTCCCAGGGGGCACTGTAGCCATGGACAGAAGCACCAGGCCCCCAAGAAACTCAGGCAGGCAGGCAGGTTCCAAGAGAAGAAAAAAAAAAGATCAGCTCCTCGTCACTTTTTTTTTTTCTTCAGTCAAGCCTGCTAGGCTGGCCTGTGCAGGCTGCCACCAGGCTGCACAGCCCCCGAGCTGTGTGGGGCCTGGTGCTTCCCTCTGCGGCTGCAGCG